CAGCGGGTGGGTCAGGAGAGGTCTGCCACACCATGTGGTCACCTCCGGGGCAGGCGGGAATCGAACTCATGTGGAAGCAGCTCCAGATTCTCAGTGCTGTGCTTTAACCCACTGTGCCACCAGGGAGGGCCAAAATTTTTTTCTTTTAACTTCAATTGGGCATTTTTTCCCCAGCCTCTTTTCTAATTTCTTATAGTTAACACTACTCAATAAAAGTACAGATACTTCATCGTCTTTGGTGCCTGGTTCTTTTTATTAACCTCACGTGTTAAATCTGGTCACCCACATAAAACATTCTGCTAGTATACAGTATATATAACCACTTAATACTATTTATATACTATTACAGGACATATTAAGTACATCTAAAATATGTGATAGAGGGGACCATCCTTCATCTGGACCATCCAGATGAAGTAATATTTAAGTGAAAACCTAAAGGATGGATATCATCCCAAATTTAAGCAAGGAGAGAGATGTTTCCAAGAATAGTTACATTTCTGTCAAGTGTAACACTGCACAGGAGAGAAAGAACATGCTTTATCTATCTAAGGAGGTGAAAATATTTAATCTGGCTTGAGTGCAGAGTACTTGTAGAAATGGAAGAGTAAAGTAGAAGAGATACTGCTAGAGAAAAACAAATAAAAAATATTGTGTTGGGCCCTGTAAGGTAACATAAAACCTTTGAATTAAAGAAGTAATATTAACAGATTTGTAAAAGAAAAGATTCTATATTGGAAAAGCAATTAGAGGGACTCAATAATGGAATTTGAGACTAGATTAGAAACTGTTGCAATAATCAAGAAGCCACTGGCTGTAAAATTTTAAGAACTTTAATGAACACTATCAAACTTCTCTGGACTTGACAACACCATATATTTTTAGAAATCCTACTTCTGGGCCTCCCTGGTGACATAGGGGTTGAGTCTTAGGACTATCAAAACACTGGCTGCAGCCTGAGTTCAATCCCTGGCCAGGGAGCTAACCCACATGGTGCAGCAAATCTCTCCTGTCTCGCCTGTTGCTCCCCTCAGCAGTTGTATTTTAGTAGGTTTGCCTACCAAATCCTTTGCCCATCTCTGGCCTACAACACCCCCCAGCTCCCAACCCCTGGCCTACACTCCAGTTCTTCTATGCATAAAAAAATAAACCACGAAATAAAAGAAAAAAAAAGAATGACTTTTCTGGTCATTCAAATACATATTTTACATTCAATTCTTAAGACAGTAATAATAAAAAGCGCCTGATAATCATACCAGTATTCCTCTTCAGGGACTTTGTCCAAAGGTGGATTCAGGCAGTAAATATGATAAGCCATATTACATTCATCACATAGAAGCTGCATGTTGGGTTCCTGTTTTCCACCACATATATGACAAGAACAAGAGTGACATTGCTTGTCTGGGTCTCCACCACAAGAGTCACATTCAGGGTCATTTTTCCCTATTAAGAACAAAATTATAGAAAGCCAGCCTTAAAATCACATTTGTACCTACAATCTTATAAAGAAATAAAAATAATCACTGAAGTCAGTAGCTCTTTCTTTCCTTTCTCTAATTTGTCACTGTTCCATATATAAACCATACTGATCTCAGTCCTAACTTTCTGAGTGATTACTGCCTGTTCTTGCTAATGAATAGAAGATTACAATTTTGTTCCACTTTGGCTAAGATAAATGTGCCAACATGTAAGTAATGGAAATATAACAGTCCTAAAATGTCACAGATTGATGTTTAGATTTTTGGTTTGAAGAATAATTTGATCAATGGTAGTGTGGCTAAAGCTCTGAAAGCATGTTTCTTTACGCATGAGCTTAAAATTATAGCTATAATGTGATTGGCACTGGGAAAAGAAAAGCTAACAAATAAATGCAGATATACTAAGAGTGGGAGAGAACAGAATGACACAAGAAAAACCAAGTCAATTTTGTTTTTCTACTGTGGTTTACTGACAGCACCTAAGCTATATAAACTAGGTTTACTTACCAAGTTACCTTTATTCCTAGGTTTTAATCATACAAATAATCAAATAAAAGTGGGCTTAATTCAGATACAGCTATATTAGCATTGATGCCCCAGAAAACGAGAATGGCCTACATTTGTAACATGGAAATCTACTTATTGATTTGTTAAAGGTTTTTTCTTATTCTAAACTGTACAACCGTTGTAAGAGCTTAGGCAGACCGTTTCTACTCTTAAGTATTTATTTTCAGAATATATTAGATATTGACACATGGTATATAGTCAATAGAGTATTCTCTGTAAAAAATTCAGAACTAAGAGGGTAAACACTATAATTCATTTGGAAAGACAGAAAAAAAAATACGTGAATGAAAGAAGTGACCAGGAATCTAGTACTGTAGCTTTGTCACTAACTAGCTCTATGACATTAAGCAAGTAAAATGTGTATAGTGAAGAGGCAGGGCTACATGCTAATGTTCTTATGATCAGATAAAACCTTACTTGTTACCTCTCAAAAATACAAGCCTCACCAACCATACTACTTTGACTCAGTGGTATAAAAATAAGTCATAGTATTAAAAATTAATTTTGTTAAGGGTAAGGCTACAAAATTACTTAAGTGGATCTTTTACTTGGATAGAACCTATAACAGGAAATAGCATGAACATGTCAATAACGTGCCAAGATCAGAAAATATTTCTTTGAGAACAAATTTTATCATTTGAGAAAAATCCATTAAACCAAAACTGATCTTAGATCAAAGCTGTTGTCTTGAAAATAAATTTGCATGATATACAGTTTGATACTTTTTAAAAAGTTAATCTCTGGTCAGTTAAAATGTCATTCATGTACACTATATATAGTCTCTAAGTTTACAAGAAAAATACATACTTAAAAACTTTCCATCTGCCAGTGAAAGAGGATGGGCTCCAGGTTTCTCGATCTTGAAGATTTCATTTACAAATGTTATTTGGCAGTCATTTAATTTTCCTTCCGAACCCCTGTTTGAAAAAGTAGAAAGGTTAACTTCTGCCAGAAAAATCTAAAGCATATGTAATTAATAATTAAAAGTCAGTTTTGAAATCCTCTGAACTTTTTCTATAAAATGGGAATATAGTTATTCCAATATCAGGAAAAGTTAAACCATGAAGAGCTAAAAGTCCAAATAAAGTATAACTTTAGTATTAAGAAGAAAGTTTAGAGGCTTTACTTAGTCTGGTAAGAAGATAGTTAAATGATTTGTAAATTAAATTTAAAGAGACAAATGATACTGTCAATTAAAAAGAAAAGCAAATATATTTCCAAAAGATACAGTAAGTTTATTGATAAGCCTTTCAAATACTAAGGCCTATTTTTCATTGAAACAATTTATACCTGTTGCATATTCTTCTAAGTTTTCTTCTATTATTATGAATTTGCATATTTCCCCTTTTAACTGTCAACTTTTGAATTATGTTTTTGATGCTACAATTTTATATATACAGATTCAGGATTCTTAAATCTTTTAATGAAATGTCTTTATCTTTAATAATACATTCTGAATCAAAAGTGTCTTTTTTTTTTTTAGTTTAACATTTGCTTGGTACTTCCATTTTTTCACCTTTTTTTCTTTAAGTTTTTAAGGTTATATATACACCAATACAGATATGAAAAGCTAAGTTTATACTTTAACCAATTACAAGGTACACATTCTTGTGATCACCAACCACAACAAAAGATAGGGCTGTAAGTTATCTCAGAAGACGACAACATCCTCTCTTTCAATCACAATCTCTACACTCCCTCCCAAGAGTAATATTTTGTTAATTTTCCTTCAGTTTTACCACTTATCATCTTAAAGATATGGTCACTGTGGCCTGTTTTACGGGCTCTCTAAGTTCCCATTTTTTTTCTCCCTTACAGTTTGTTGGGGGAGAGGGGGAACATTATTTGTCCTACAGTTTCCCAGTCTTGATATCGATACTGCACTCCCAAAGTATGTTTAAATAGTTTTTCTGTCATCTGGATTTCCAGTAATTTGGTAGTTGAAAGTGGAGCAAAGAAATCCTGACCCAGCACCTGTTTTGCTAATTAAAATTTATCTGGAATGTAGCAGCATTTAGTCATTTGTGTATTGTCTATGGATAGTTTTGTGTTACAAAGGCAGAGTTGTAGAGCTGTGACAGACCATGTGATTGCCAGTTTAAAAAAAATTACTCTCTAGAACTTTACAAAAACAAAATCAACCTTCACTCTAAATGCTTAATCAAATCTTACTTCATTTTTTGACAAAACTATTTATTAGTCTATTTCCACTACAAAGGACCTATAGTTGGTTTTTCCTGTGATGACAAAAGTTATAAATACTCAACACCTTTGTTTAGATTTATTAATTTACTGGGGATACTCCCTACTTGTTTATTTATGGTAATTCTATAAAGAGAAAATGGACCCCCTCTACTTGGTGACTCAATAGCATAGTTCACATAGCAAAAGTACTTTTAATGCTTTCTTTAGAAGTTTTTAAAATAAGTCTCTCATGTATTCTGTATGTAACCAATGTTTTTCTACATAAGTAGGAATTCACATACTTCAAGTGTTTCAATTCACTGTATTTTCCTTATCAGTGTTCAAATTGTCATCTTTTAGCTGTGTCATCTTCCTCTTGATCTCAAATTCTTCTGACAAGAATGCAGTAGTCTTTGCAGACTTAGTGTCCTCAATGAAACAAGAAGTTCCAAGTTTACCTTGTACATTTTCTGTCCCCAGTCTAGATTCAAAATCTCCAGGAAGTCTGATTTCTTTCAGGTAGAAATGATTTTTCGAGACCACAATTTAAGCACTAGAAAAGCTTATAGCAATTCTACTGTTCACTATAGGTTTTTTCCAGTGGACATAACAGCAAAATTTAGACATACATATTAATGTATACACGTATAAAAGACCTCATGAGTTCACTAGTAGTATGCTCAAATTCAGGACTAAAAGTATCCTTAAGTTCCTTTAGGAACCCTAATTCTCAAAGGCAAAGATACATGAAATTAGAATGTTAAAGTACGTATTTGATTTATCCCATATTAACATATAAAACAACCTTATCACTTGTCTTTATAATTACTTTAAAAAAGGTCAGTAAGATGTTCCCCTACATCTTATATCTGCAGTGTTAGATCATATGACCAATTCATGCTTTACTTTTCCCTTTGTATGTCACACCTTCAAGCTGTAAAAGTAGAAATCTTTTTTTAACATGATAAACATTAAACTGATAAAGTTCTCTTTATGTCAAACTCTCTTCATATCTCGATGGGGCCCAGTTCTCTAAAAGATTCCTCAGGAAGGATTTGAGAGTATAAAACTCTATCAATTTTTATAATTTAATGATTAATTTATCTCCAATCTTTATATGGAAGATCCATTTAGCAGAATTAGTTCATCTTTTCTTGACTCATGTATGTCTTTCTGAGATGCTTTCTTTTAAGGTGTCATACTGATTCCTTATTTTTTCTTCTAAATTTGTATGGAGTTAATATCAAAGCTTCTTTTATGGTTTTTTTTTGGTTAGTATTAATTTTCTTGAATAATTAGAGAGACGATTTTACTTAGTTTTGTCAATTCAATCACACTACAGAGTCCACAATTTTTTGCTGCCTTGTAGAAAAATATTAAAAACTATGAAACCAACAGAAAGCAGCTAAGTTGCTGAGGCCAAGGCTGAGAGTAATAGTGGAGACTATAATGTGCACAGTAACATTTTGGGGTGATGAGATGTTCTTTATCTTTACTATAGTGGCAGCATAGATATACATACTTGTCAGTATTCACTTAAAACACATAGTATATTCCTGTATGTAAATTATACCTAAAAAAATTACTGGAAAAAAGATAACATAGAAGCTTGCTTTCTGAAATCTCCTAGCACTATTCCCCTCCCCTATTTTTAACTGGACACATTTCCTTTGTCTTTATTGTCCCTATTCTACTGTTTGGATTGTATTCCCAGTATTTTCTACTGTCCTGGTATGGAGATTTAGTTGATCAAATTTGAGAATTCAGAGGACTCTAATTTTCTCAGACCTTACTCAAAAATCCTTGTACTTGTGCAAAACTGGCGTGCATATCTTTTCTATCTTTAGCTGCTTTATTAGGTTTCTATTGTTCCATAACAAATCACTCAAAAACTGGCAGCTTAAAACAAGAATTACCTCAGTTTTTGTGGATCAGGAAATTGGGAGCAGCTTAGCGGGGTAGTTCTGGCTCAAGATATCTCTTGAGGTCTCAGTCAAGCTGTTGGTCAGTGCTGCAGTCTCATCTAATGGCTCAACTTGGGGAAGGCAGACAGGCTGTCTGAATCCTCACAACACAGCTGATGGCTTCTCCCAGAGGAAGTGATCTGAGAGAGCCCAAAATGAAGCTTCAATGTTTTCATAACTCTATCTCATAAGTGGTGTATCATCATTCCTGCCATATTCTGCTGATTACATAGACCAACTCTAGTAAAACACGGAAGGGAAATATGCAAAATACAAGTACTAATTAAGTAGGAATCACTAGAGGTCATCTGGAAAATGGCCACCACAGTGTTATTCTCAAAATTTCTGAGCTAATTTATTATTTTGGAGTTGGAGTTCTGGGATCATCATTTATTCTGTAGTGACTTTCTCCACTCTCTTGCAGTCACTAACATCACAAAGGTCTTCAGTTTTTTGCTTATCCCACCAGCTAGTTTGGTGTTAGTGAGGGATAACATATCACCTTAAATGGTTTTAGATGTTACCCTTGAATTTTTGGTTTAGATATTTTATTTGCTGTTTTATATTAAAATCTAAGGAAAATGAAACTATACTTTCATCATCTTCCCAGAATTCCAACCATTCTTCTATTTTCAGTGTCTTGGTATCATATTTAATGAATCAGTTATAAATAGCATATGGGTTTTATATTTAGCCTGTTATCTGTTTTTAATTTTAATATTTAGTCCACATATAATTGACAGATTGGCTGAGATATTTGAGTTTACTCCTACCATTTTACTTTGTTTTCTATTTTATCTGTCTTTTTGTTTCTTTTATTTTGTCCTGACTGCTTCTCTTGGATTATTCTAAATCTAATATTCCATTTCTACTTGATTAACTTGCAAGTAATTTATGGTGGAACTTAAGGGACTGTATCATGTAAACTAATCAATCAATCTTTTTAAACTTACTTTCATTAATTCCTTCATCACTCAAGAATAGCAGAGCTCAGCCTTAAGACCTGATATTTTTGCATAGCTGTCACGCATTTTTATTTTAAACATATTTTAAACTTCACTATTAATGTTTTAGGGAGTCTATTTGTACTTTCTTTGTTCTTAACTCTTTCCTATATGTCCATGTTTCTGAGTTCACCTTCCTTCTGCTTAGAGAACTCCCTCAGTAGTTCTTTTAGTGCTGGTCTTTGGATATCGATTCTCTCTGGCATGACTTTATAGGATATTTTAATTAGAAATACTTGTCTAAGTTGATAATATTTTTATCTTTGTTTTCATATGCCATTTCATTGTGTTCTACCTTACAATATTTCTGATGAAAACTCAGTAGTCTCCTTTGTCTTTAGTTTTCAGCAGCTTTATTGATGTCATTGTGTTTTCTTTATATTTACCCTGCTTAAGTTTTACACAACTTCTTCAGTCTTGGCTGATATTTTTTATCTGTTTCAGAAAATTCTAACTATTATATTTGCAGGTACTGTTTTCAACCTATTCTCTCTCTCTCTTTTTTAAGTAACAATACATACCTTTTCACTAAATCCTACTATTTAACAGTCTTTTCTGTTTTTTCCACTGTTTCCGCTGGGATATTTTCTTATACTTGTCTTTCAGCTCACTAATCCTATCTTCCATTATATCTTATGTACTATTAAACAACTTTTCTAGAAATTAATTTCAGAAACAGTATTTCCCAGTTCTGGAGTATCTATATTATGATTTTATAGATTTCAACTCTCAGTTAACTTTTTTCAACTATTTTCTCGACTATAT